AATTAAAGCAATTTAAACATAGAGATTAAGATATTTTGAATATCTGATTTAAACAAAGACCATAAAAAATTTGATTTGGTATTTTGAAATTTAAAAAAAAAATTATTAATTTAGAGGATGATATGTGATAAATCTATCTAAATCTTGTATACATCACGTTTTACAATTAAAGCAATTTAAATACGGAGATTATTCTTATTTCAAATCTCTGATTTAAACAAAAACCATAAAAAAAATTGATCGTTTCAAAATTAGACCCGTGTATTATTTTTCTTTATAAATAATTGTCAAACAAAACAATTGAATAGCCGCAACTTTATTCTTTTAATTGAAACTGCCCGATTTGATGGTTAGAAAAAATGTTTTCAAAAGAAATAAACAAATAATTTTTTTAATTTTTTTTATAATTTTACCCTTAAATTAGCCGTAATTTTGTTTAAATAAAATTTGCTAATCAAAACATACGTGTTAGCCGATTTTATAGAAAAAAAAGGTTTCCGATATTTTAAAAATACAAAAGCATATTTTTATGGTTAGAAAAAATAACACATAAATTTTTGTATTACTAAATTAGTCGTAATTTTTTTATTAAAAAAAACTGTAAAGCAAAGCAATTGTATTAGCAGAATATTTGGTTTTAAATTTGGAGAATATAATTGGCCGATGTTTAATTGAATTAGCAGTCGTGACGTACATTTTTATTCAAATTTAAAAATAGCTTAATGTAACCAATAACCAAATTTAATTGATGCAGCCTGTGCATTATCGGTTTTTGATATATACATCGTGTCAAACCATCGCAAATATTCGTTAGACCAAATTTAAATCGCAGCCCACTTTTTTGAAAATAAAAAAATAACAAACTGCTCATTTTAAGGACAACATTTAATGTTGTCCCTATTTTAGTAAAAAATATATTAAAAATATACTATAAATAGTATGTAATTAATGCTCATCATTTTTGACCAAAGATTGACTTACTATTTTTGATAAATGTTAATTCTTATTATATATATATAGATTATTATTTTGTGCATATATCACACTTTTCATTATCATTTAATGTGAAAAGTTATAATATCTCATTAATTCACTATGGACTAATTGTTTTTATCACTAGTACGTAGCCCGTGCGATGCACGGAACATAAGTATTAAATGAGTCATTTCCATAGAGCTTGTCTGTTAAGTAGCTCGTGCGATTCACGGGAGATATTAAATGACTGGACAATAGGGCTTGTTAGTTTAGGCCTAAAAAATAATAGAGTTTGATCATTTATTTTTTTACTTCCATCAACGTCATCTTTTTTATCGAGACATTAAACCTGAGCCTGGTAGCGTTAGCCCGTAAATTAATTAATATATTATCTCGCTCACATGTTCATAATAATATAATTTGATTTCATTATATATATTTATTCCTTGATATAAGAAAAATAACAATTTTACGTAATCTTGTTTTTCGTATAATACTCATATTACTTTATTATAAAATTTATTGTAATAGAATGTCATTATTATTATTTATACAAGTTATAGATGTAGTCTTCTTCTTCTTTTTATTTTATGTAATTAAAATATTTTATGGATGTTAATATTATTTATTAATATAATTAATTTAAATTATGTAAATAAATTTAAAGTAAAACACTTTGTACAAACATTTTACAAAATATACACAAATGTTTTTCTAGAATTTTTTTTAAAATAAATAAATAACTTTGAAATTCTATGCAATTATTAAACATCCTCGATATAAATTCGAAATCACACTTGAATTCTATGTAATTATTAATTCCGTCCGATGTTATGGGAAACAAATCATTCGGAAATGTAACAAAATGATAAGGAATTTTAAAATTTAAATTTTAAATGAGACATGTTTTTACTTGAATCCTATGCAATTATTATTTTGTCTGATTTTATGGCAAACAATTCATTTTGGATTTTAGTGTAACAAAAAAATAAGAAATTTAAGATTTAAATTTAAAAATTGAAATGAGACATGTTTTTACTTGGAGTCTATATGTCCGATTTAATTTCAAAACACATCAATTAGGGATGGAATTAATGCAAACCGGTTTTTTAGCAATAAAATAATAATACAATTAGAAAAATGATGGAAATAGAATGCATTAATCGTCTTTTGACTTTTCTTCCTACTAAATTTAGTAAATAGGATGGCTTATTATATAAGTATAGATTACTAGTACGTAGCTTGTGTGATGTACGAGGTAGTAATGACAAATTGTATAAATTAAGATAATTAATTAGTATAAATATACTTTTGAATATTAATACTAATTTATATGAAATATAAGAATCTAAAGTATGATTTATATGATTATTTTGCACGTTATAAAGAAATTCATTTTATAATTGGTGTTTAAAATTAAGGAAACAACGGATATGCTTTTGTTTCTTTTTTTCCACATGGGTCTACTTGCTCTGGTATATGAACGTTTAACATATTCAAACATTATCAATAAATAATACTAACAATTATACATCTCTCTCTTCTCTTATTTTTTTTTTCGGAAGGATAGAGAATTTTATAGATCAAAACGCACAAATGTGAAAAGTTACAAACCCTAGTCGAATAATACAACCAAAGGCTGAATAAACTGGGAGGACATGTTAGAATACCGCCTAGAACCGACACTAGCAACGCTAGAAACCAAAAAGAAGACTCACGACACGATAGACATTAATAAAAACTACAGAGCTCCCAATAGATGAATAAACATAAAACGATCCCAATACCCGCTCGGGTACATACAGAGGCCAACGGCCCAAACTAAAAACACGAATATTAACAAACAACACTCTGAAAACAAATCAAAAACACCTAAACAAATAAAAAACAACACTGAAACAGAAAAAATTGCATGAGTCCTTCCACAACAGCAAATCCAAGCTGAACCAATAGTCACCAATTCCACCCAAAGGGAATCCCTCAGCCTAAGAAAACCGACCCACCCACTGCCGAAAACCACCTAGCTGAGCCGAATCTCAAACATCGGAACACACCCAAAGCCAATTCGCCCCGAAGCAGGAACACACCAAGATTGCACTCAGTTGCCGCTGTACCGAGCCGACTAACACCACTAGCGAACTTAGTACCATCGGCAAGCTCCCCATAACCCAACTCCAAAGAACCGGGGAGAAGGAGCAGTCACGATGACGCAGGCCCTGCCACTCCAACTCGAAGCCGCAAACCGTCGGAGTCGCACTTCTCTTAGTCATACCTTATTACAATATATTATTTTGATTCCTAAATAAGTGATGGTAAAGTTGAAAAATTATGGAAAATATTATAAACCAACACTTAATATTAAAAAATATAGCATAGATTATTTTAAAGTTATTAATTTATTAATTTTTAATCACATTAAAATTATTTTAATATTATGTTGTAATTTATAATAATGTATATAATATTTTGGATTTTCTTTTCAATCTAACAATCTGTATGATAATTCGACACCAGTTGATTAATCACTATAACTTATAAGCATATAAATTATAAATATCTTTTTCTATGTTAACAATTTGCATCTTTGTTTGATAAAGAACTTATTGGGTTATTATTATAATTTATAATAATACATGATAATATTGTCTTTTCTTTCAAAGTTAATAATGTATATGGATAGTTTGACAAATGATGCATTGGTCTGTTTTCATAATTGATATTATATTTATATATATATATTGCATGTATTTTGATTTTTCTTTCTATACTTAAATTAATGACAACTCCGGTGAATGATGTTTTATAAATTATAACAATTACATATTACAAATATTTTGATTTTTTAATATAATAATATACCTAACATTTCGATAAATTAAAAGGTTTATTATTTTAATATCATATGTACATGATTCTCGAAATAATTAGTTAAGTGTTTTTTTTATATTAAATACATTTTACTATACATACTTTACATTTTATTGTATGAAAAAACTTGATAGTAATTCCTTATTTTAAATCAAAATATTATGTAATAAATTTAAATTCATTTTATACATGCATTATTAACTAATAAACTAATTAATATTTTAGAAATAATTATTTTTTTGTTTATAGTATCAAATAAAATATCGTAAAACGAAAGTTAATTTGATATTATATATATATATATATATATATGAATGTCAAATCGAATCGTAAAATAAAAGTTAAGTTGATATTATATATAAAAATGGACTGCAAATACAAATTTTATTAAGTTTTTTTATGAAGGAATGACATTAATACTTTATAATAAATATACACAAGAAAAAAAAGCAAAAAAGATAGGAAAACTAAATAGAAAAATTGTAGTTTGAAAATTTCCTTTCTAGGTGTTCGATAAATATTTTATAAATAATTATTCATAGATTAATTACTCAATAACTATATCCGTTAATTTATATTTTTCTAATCAAACAAATTTTAGATTAGGTGAAAATTGAATAATTGATTGTAAGGTTTTGAAAAGTTTTCAAATTATTGATATCACATCACTAAAATAATAAAGATAGATTAGATAGAAATATAAAAATTTAAGCAATAGATTCAGATCAATTATTGATACCACATTACCTAAAATAATATACAAATCTCATCACAAATGGTAAAAAGAAATACCAAAAGGAAATAGATAAAATAAGTAAAAAACTTAAAAAATCCTTATTTAGTAACATTATTTTTTTGGAATAACATTATTATTTTTAGTGAATACAAATCTTTATATATATATAGATGGGATCATATGAGAATAGGGCATAATGAAAAAAATGAGAATTCGTCCAAATTAATGAGTGAGATAAAGTTGACCAAATCTGACCAGCATTGACAACGGGATGACAGTTTTATAATTAGGTGATAAATTTTGGTTTGTGGGTAAACTTTGAGGGTAGTGGTGTAATTTCACTTCATCAACTAACCACCCAATTTCTCTCCTAGGGCTCACCACACCATACCTCAATTTTTCTCTCTGTTACACTCATAGACGCACACACGCATTTACACACGCATTACACATTCTGGCCACTAGTTATTCGTATGGCACCGGTTATTCGCTGGCCACCGTGACCACCACCCCACCACATCCCATCGTCGTCGTCACACCCGACACCAAAAATTACACCCAGAAATTCATACAATTGGGATACACACACACGCACCACAACCAACACCCATCTCATACGGCGATCGTTAACCGGCCACCAACCCACCGCCGACGCGAGCTCTGCCGATACAGTCATTTTCGACGCTAGTTCCACCGAAGCCCTGCCGTTACAGTCGCTTCATCACCAGGTCTATGGTGGACGCCGTCGGGATGGACACCGTCTGGGGTCACAGAATCTGACTTCTATCCGCCGACGCCGTCAATATGGACTCGGGAATCTCGAGGCGTCCACTGAGGAGCCGCCGTAGAACGAGCTCTGCAGATCCACTGTTTGCGAAGTTCGGCTTCGACTCCGTCACTAATCTCGCCACAGAGTCCAGTGGCGAAAGGCTCCATCATATTCCAGCATGGTGGCCGCCGAGAACTCTGATGTCAGACGCAGTGAGTTTGGGCGGAGAAGACGAGCGGTTTGGTGTGGTGGATGGGTTAATTGGTTTTGGGGATTTTCACATGAATATTAGATAATCCTCAGACCCATTTTGCAATTTATGAATATTTAATACATGTATAATTCTTAGGGTTTTCTTTTTTTTTTAAAGTGTGAACAATGTTGTGCATAGATATGTGGTTAAAGGTAAAAACAACTAATCCAAAATGAATTTGAAAATTTCAAATTGATAAAAATAATAATAATAACAATAATGAATAAATAAAAATAAAGGTAAGAACAACTAATCTAAATGAAATTTTAAAATTTCGAATTGAAAATTTACATAATGTGTTTAATTTGTCGGTTAATATAAATAACCAATATAGTCGACATAAATTATATTATTTATTATATAAAACATGATTAGTATTTAATATTTTATATTATTTTTTTATTAACTATATTAATATATAGTAAACAAAATATACTGTGCAATCTAACAGTTATTAAGGTGCAATTCGTCCAACAATATGGTGCACTGTGTCAGCATGTATTGTGCACATTGAACCAACCGAAATTTTGTTCCAATCAAATTGAAAATGAACATAATAAAGTGCAAGTTTATTTTATGAAGTGCAACGTATCGTTTTATAAAGTGCAACGTGTTGATATATAAAGTGCAATAATGTAAATTTGATATGTTGGCATGTTTGTATTTTACGGGGACAAATGATATGATGGGTGTTAAAATATTATATATATACATTCTAGAGATTTATGTTGTGCGGTATTTTACCGAGAACTATTAACGTTAATTGTGAAGTGTGATGATAAAATGTAGCTTGTTGTTTTATAAAGTTCAACTTTTTGTTTTATAAAGTGCAACATATTGTTCTATAAAGTGTAACACGTTATTCTAAAAAGTGCACTAATTTATACGATCCCGAATAAATTATGTGTAATGTTGTTTTATAAAGTGCAGCGTGTTGTTTTATAAAGTGCAACATATTGTTCTATAAAGTGCAACACGTTATTCTATAAAGTGTACTAATTTATACGATCCCGGATAAATTATGTGCATCAAAAACAAGTTTTAATAGATATAATTGTACATTGATTAACCTAAATACTTAAAATACTTATTATTTATTATTGTATATTTAGTATTAAATTTATTTAATATTTTACATTATTGTTTTTTGAAAATAAATAATATATGTATTTGGAATATAAACTAATTTATTTATATAGTCCGGTTAGTTTTTTTTAATTTTATTTTTTATTTTTTATTTTGTAAATAAATCCGAAACTGAAACAAGCTAACCAAAGTTTTAATATATGTGAAATGTCTAATGTTATGTTAGTGTGAGTTCTCGAATGTATTAATGTGCGTTATGCCTAACATTTTTGTGCAGTGTGATAGTCACTAACGTGAGCTAACCAAAATTATTATTTTTTTTTTATGTTGCAAATCCAAACTAAAACCAACTGAAATAATAGGATTACTCGGTTTGTTAATCGAGTTATCTTAAATAATTAAATATTTTATTATTTATTATCATAAATGTATATTTTGTATTTTAATATTTTAAATAGTTTTATATTATTATTTTTTGGTTAACAAGAATATAATAAATATATGTATAAAAATGTATAAAAACAATTTTTTTTATATATTTTTATAAATTACAGGTTTGACAAATTGAAATATAATAAAAAGGTTGAAATTGCAATTGAGTCCATGTGATTTATCAAATTTTTTAATTCAACCTCCCAAAATCCCAAGCCATACGTTCATCTGCCATTTTCAGACCACTGTGTTTTGCCACCGTGAACCACCCCGGCAGAAGAGGACGTGTCGCTGCCCAGCCGGAGACGCATCCAAGCTTGCTCGTACGGCCGATTTGCTGAATTCGGCTCGAAAAAGGTGAGGCACAACTATGGCGGGCGGCGGCGGTGGCAGAACGATTGGAAACGAGACAACGGTGCACGAATGTGGAGAGGTGTTGGAAAGACGTCGCACAGTGTGCGGCGACGAGCTAAGGCGTGCGGACCTAGGATGGCTGATGAATTCGAGTCGACCTGCTCATTGATCGACGACATCCTCTACGCGTAGTGGTGGGAGATGGTTACAACAAATTGGAGTCGACCTGCTCCAATTTTTATGACGGTCAGAATCGGTTACAGTGGAGATAATGGGCGGTGGAGGCCGCCGGACAGACGACGACGGTTGGTGCGGGCGGGGTTGGTGTGTGTGTGTGTGTGTGTGTGTGTGTGTGTGAGAGAGAGAGAGAGAGAGAGAGAGAGAGAGAGAGAGAGAGAGAGTGGAGACGGGGTCGGGTAGGGCTGTGTTGGGACAGATTGACGTGTTGGCACATTTGTTAATGTGGTGTGGGGTCCACTTATGTTAATGTGGTGTAAGAAAATACCACATTACCCTTAATTGGCATATAATTTTGACTTGTTTTTAGCCATTAGATCATTCGATCTAATGACTACGATTTATTCTCATTTCTTTCACTAAGCATCATTGTCATGTGAACTCAGCTCTTAAATAGGGGGCGGATCAAATGCGGCCAACTCTTAAAATGCAGACAGCTCTTAGCAACTACAGACAACTTACCTAGCAACTACAGAAAACTAACCTAGCTATTACTAACTTAGCAACTACAGAGAACTAACTTAGCAACTACGAAGAACTAACTTAGCAACTACGGAGAACTAACCTAGCAACTATAGAGAACTAACCTAGCAACTAGTAACCTAGCAATTATAGAGAACTAACCTGGCAACTACAAAAAACTACTTTAGTAACTACAGAAAACTTACCTAGCAACTACAGAAAACTAACCTAGCAACTACTAACCTAGCAACTACAGAGAACTAACCTAGCAACTACGGACAACTAACCTAGCAACTACAGAACACTAACCTAGCAACTACAGAGAACTAACCTAGCAACTACATAGAACTAACCTAGCAACTACAGAGAACTAACCTAGCAAGTACAGAGAACTAACCTAGCAACTAGAGAGAACTAACCTAGCAACTACAAAGAACTAACCTAGAAACTACAGACTGCGTGAGATTGCTGAGAGTATGGAGGGATTGCCATGGATGGTTAGTGGCGATTTCAACACCTTTCTGCACCCCGATGAGCGTGTGGGTAGCCGTTCGGACCGGTCATGGGAGATGTGAGATTTTGCTCAGGCGGTGGCGGACTGTGAGTTAATTGACGTTGGATGTGATGGTGAGCCATTCACGTGGGTGAGGGACGGACTCAAAGAGAGGCTCGACCGCGCCTTGGTTTCTGAGGCGTGGTCGAAGGTGTTTGCGGTTACGACCGTCACACACCTTACTCGATTTAGATCTGACCATTCACCCCTTCTCATCCGGTGCCGATTTTCGAATACCCCCCGCCGCTCTTCCTTTAGGTTCCAGAACATGTGAGTTCGCCACCACTCCTTCCACGACACTGTCAAGGATTCTTGGCTTCAACTGACTGGGCTCTTCGGGATGCGCAATCTCGAGGCGAAGCTCGGCAGACTGCGGCGTCGGTTGAGACAGCGGAACTGAAATGTTTTTGGAAACCTTCATCAGTGCCTTTCTGCGGCTCAGAGTGCGCACGCGGCGGCTGAGCGGGCCTATGACCTGGACCCCACTCCGGAGAATAGGACTGCATTGGCCGCTGTAATGCCGAGTACTAGCTCCGACTCCTTATGGAGGAGGACTTCTGGAAGCAGAAGGCGGCCGTTCGCTGGGTGACTGAGGGCCAGCGGAATACTAGGTTCTTCCAAGGCTACGTTAGGCAGAAGCGTGCTAAGTCGTATATCCATAGTATCGAGGATGATGGGTCATCCCTGACCCAGAAGTCTCAGATTTGGGAGTCGGCTGTTGCTCACTTCCAGACCCTCTTCACCTCTGACAGAGGGTCCCTCATTGCCCCGACCGCTTCTTTCTTCCCCACCATCCCTCCTTCGGTCGATCTTATTGGCCTATGTGTGGTCCCGAGTAGGGAGGAGGTTAGGGATGCTTTCTTCGGTATTGATCCCAACAGCGTTTCTGGCCGGATGGTTTCTCGTCTCTCTTCTATCAGGTCTGCTGGGATTTAGTCGAGCCTGATGTCGAGGAGGCAATGTTGAATTTTTTCTCTGGTTACCGGATGCCGGATTCCTTCACGTCTACCTCCGTCGTCTTGATCCCCAAAAGACCCAACCCGAGCTCTTGGTCCGATTACAGGCCCATCAGTCTGTGTAACGTGACCAATAAGCTCATTTCGAAGATTCTTAACGGCCGCCTTTCCCCTCTTTTCACCTCCCTTATCTCTCCGAATCAGAGTGGCTTCGTCAAGGATTGGGTCATTAGTGATAACATCCTTCTGGCCTAGGAGATGATCCACGACGTCTCCCGTGCGGATTGGAAGCGTGCACCGAATATTGCGCTGAAGCTAGACATGGCTAAGGCGTATGATAGGGTGGAGTGGCCATTTCTTAGGGAGGCACTAGCTAGAATGGGATTTCTTGAGCGTTGGATCAGTTTTGTGGAGGCGTGTGTGGAGCACTGCACGTTCTCGGTCCTGGTGAATGGCAGCCCCACCGATTTTTTTCCCTCCTCTAGAGGCCTCAGACAGGGCGACCCCCTTTCCCCTCCCCTTTTCGTTCTTGCGGCGGACTACCTCTCTCGCTGCCTTAACGGCTTCATCCGTGACTCTCCTCAGATGACCTACAGCACCCGTGGCTATGGTCCTCCCATCTCTCACCTCTCTTAAGCAGATGAAATTATCATCTTCACCCGGGCCGATGATGATGGACTGGTCGAGCTTATGCGCCTTCTGGAGCACTCTGGCTCGGTCATCAGCCAGCTGGTCAGTGTGCAGAAGAGCACCTTCACCCTCTTCTCTTCCAGCGTGGACAGGTGGCTCAGCGGGTCCACGAGATTACTGGCTTTGCGTGTGGCGACCTTCCCATTACCTACCTTGGTGTCCCTTTATATAAGGGCAACCTCACGATAGCGCTATTTGTGGGCGTCAGGTAGAGGATGATCGACAGGATCTCTGGTTGGTCGCATAGACATCTTTCTTTCGGTGGTCGGCTTGCACTGATCAAGAGCACTATTAGCTCCCTTTCGATTCATTTGCTTATGATCCTCGACCCCCTTAGGTCTACTCTTGACGAGATTGATCAGATTATGGCTCGTTATTTTTGGGGTTATGAGGACGGTTCCAGGAGGGGAAGACGTACCCACCGGGTGAGTTGGGATTCTATCTGCCGCCCCTTCTTCGAGGGTAGCCTTAGCATCCGCCGCCTCAGGGATATTGTTACAGCTTTCTCCTACAAGCTGTGGTGGCGCTTCAGGGAGGGAAAGTCGTTTTGGGCTCAGTACCTTCCCGGCAAGTACTGCCCTAGACGTGCCAACCACCCTTGTCGGATGACGGCTGTTGATCATGATAGCAGACAGTGGCGGCACCTCACTAGGGTCGGTAGGCGCGCCCTGGATCACATCTTCTAAGTTTTGGGCGAGGGCGAGGTTAGTTTCTGGGATGAGTGGTGGTTAGGTGATAGGTCGTTGTCTAGGGATAGGCAGGTGACGCATTCCCCCTACCTGCTTGTGAGTGACCTTTGGACGGATGGGTCGTGGGATAGGGGGAAGCTTGATAGGGAATTGGGCTATGGTGCGGGCTTTAGCGAGTATTTATTAGATCAGATCCAGCAGATCCCCATTTCGGGGGACGGTTTGGATGGCATGAGGTGGAGACTTACATCATCGGGTGTGTTTTCTACTACCTCGACTTGGGAGCAGATCAGGCTGAAAGATCGGCCTAATCTTATCTTGGGGGCCATCTGGAGCGACCTTTTCACCCCTACCATTTCGGTGTTCCTTTGGCGCCTCCTCTTGCGCCGGATACCCGTGGATACTGTGTTACACGCGAGGGAGATCTCCTTCCCCTCTCGGTGTGTGTGTTGTTCTGAGACTGGACGCCATGAGACCGAGACCTTTACCCACCTTTTTCTAGAGAGTGAGATTGTGAAGAGAGTGTGGGAGCATTTTGCCACTTGGACCCATATATCCCTACCCACCACAGACAATTTATTTGAGCTCTTGAGTTTTTTCTCACAGAGCACACACCTTATACACCTGAGCTTCCTCATTTCTTGTCTGATTCTTTGGTTCTCCTGGACGGAGAGGAATAGTGCGAAGCATAAGGATATTACTTTTTTTTTCTCACATTGTTTTGCACGTAGAGAGACACATTTCACTCCTCATAGCATTGGGCAGGCTCACGGCCCGAGACTGGATAGGCTGCACGCCACCACACCGCTACATAGTGGCTCCCCCACCGCCTGTTCGGCCCCCTCGGCCCAGAGCTGTTGTTTGGCTTCGACCCGACTCTTCATGGGTCAAGCTGAATACTGATGGCTCTTTTGATCACCATACCAGAGCTGCCGGAGGAGGAGGCTTGATCCGGTACCACAACGGCACCCTCATCACCGCCTTCCACACGCCCCTTCAGGCCTCCTCGAGCTACGACGCAAAGATTCAGGCATTACAGATTGGCATTCAGAATGATGTCTATCTCTCTAGTCATATTTGGATCGAGCTGGACGCTGCGGCTGTCGCCACCCTCCTGACTTCGGGCCACCAGGGCTCATGGTAGATTCAGCACCTGCTTATGCGCATTAGAGCTCTACTTCGGTCTGTCCATCACAGGATCACGCACATTTTCCGTTAGAGGAAAAGACCTGCTGACAACCTTGCCAGCCTTGGCGCCACCATACCAGAACCATATACGTTTCAGACCGACACTGCTCCACTCCGCCTTCGCACGCTTGTACGGATGGACCAACTTGGATATCCATCGTTCCGCTTTCAGTAGATTAGGTTTATTGCTTTCATTAGATTAGACTTTTTATTCCGGGCACCTGTTAGCCCGAAGACAGACTTTGTACTGTTTTTTCTTTTTTTGTTTTTTTGTTTTGCTTGTGAGACTCTATAGACTGTAGTATGTTGATATTTTGGGCCCCCGTTTTGGGGTCTTGATCTATGCACAGGTTGGGGATCTAGCCTAATCCCCCGCCCTTCCGGGGCGTTGTTGTTTAAAAAAAAAAAAAAAAAACC